GTTATTTACTTCATTTTTAGTTGGAGGCTTAAATGTTATTTTAGGATAAGTTTGAGGGCTTAAGAAGAGTTTTTGCCATCAAATAACTCCTCCCTCCAATAGTATAGGAGTAAAATATACACCATTAACTACCAACTCATTTAACTCAATGAAGGGATACTGTATCAGATGGAGGAAGAGTAAAGAACCTCCAAAACAATAACGTATAGAAGAGCAACACGCAGCTTCCAACGTAGGTTTCATGTACACTTGAATAAATATTCATGTCCACATATCCAACAAAAAAAGGGCTAGCTAGATGAACTCTATCCAACCAACCCCTGCTACTATGAGATTAAGGGTTAACTTTGAGGTAGGCAATGAATAAGATTTGAAATCAATCTTAAAGCTCGGGCATGTCAACGTGATTTAAAAGAACATAGTAACAATACCACCACTCGCTGAACAACGAAATAAAGCTGCATTTCTGCTCAATCTAATACTTTAACTATAGAGAATATAGCAACCAGCATTATCACATCTATGTATAACATTTTCACCATAAGCATGAGATTTCATCCTGCTTAACATCTGAATTAAAAACTAAAAACTTAAATACCATGATCAATCTTCTTAAACCTGATGATGTGCTTCGTTTTCTTAAGACATAGTGGGAAAAATATCTCAATCATGGGCAATTCCTATTACACCCATCTACCTTTCCTTCTAAAATTGCTCACACAAAGAGTGGGTTATAAGGTAAGAATTCCATGGGATGCTATCTCTAAAGTGCAGCAGGAAAGATAAACAAAGAATAAATATTATCTTTTCAATTATGAGAGTGTGGAATAATATTAACAAAGCATTTAAAAATAAAACAGAAATTTGCGATCAATACTTAATAGATCACCAATAACTTAAATAATCCAATTCTAATTCTTTTCTAACAGAACTAAGAGAAGAAATAAAAAAAAAAAGTTATTTCTTATTATACAATCAAAATTAAAAAAATACTAAATAGATCAAATTGAAAGTAAATTCATCTCCAAAATACACTGAGTGACTGACATTTCCTAACACAAACATGAATCATCAGTTGTTTAACCATATTAATCATTAATTCTACTACCTTTTATTTTTGAAATCTACAATAAACCCTGCTTCAGTGCGCCTTTCCTCTTTGGGTTTGTTTCTCAGTAGCTAGTCTGTAAATCCAATAAATCTGTTACATGTTCGGATGTTCCAAATCGATCGAGAAAGTAGAAGGAAGGAATCAGAATCAGAGATCTATTTCGAAGTAAAAAATGAAAAACCGAGATGGAATGTCGACGGTGGAGTCGAGAATTACCAGTGCCAAGACGTGTGCTGCTATCAGTAAAACCACAAAGAATGGCACCGACACAGATTGTTGCTCGTTCGCCATTTTTACACAGTGGGGGGGGAGATTTAAGATCTAAGAGAGGTGATGCGAAGCTTTCAGAGGGAGAAATTAATTTGAAAAAAAAAACCTAAACCAGCGTTTTAAAATTCGGTTTTAGGTTTTTCTTTTTTCTTCTGGCGTAAAAGGTTCAGTGTTTTACCCTTCGGGGAGATGCAAATGCGAGTTGGGCGGATGGGTTCGCTATTTGTGGGTTAAACGTAACCGCTATTTGTGGATTAAACATAATTAGTCCAATCAGGTTTTGAGCAACCTGGAAGATTTTAAAAAGTTTAATTTATGAAAATCATACGATTACAATCTCAACTGATATTATAAATTTATAATATAATGTATCATCGTATAATTGATTTTTTTCATTTAAAAATTTACTTGCAATATTATTTATATTTAATTATTTAATATCATATTATATTTATTTAATATCACATTATAATTATAAATTTACAAACCTACGTGATATTATAATTATATCATTGTCATTTAATTTAAGAAATTTTTTAAAATAACACAAATATTCAAATTTTTAACCCAATTTATCTCACAAATACTTAAATAATTTCATCTACAAATATTACATAAAGCTCTACTTCTAATAATGGCAAGCATTGCCCATTGAAGTTGGTTTGCACCTAAATCTATTGAAGGAATTGGACTCACGTTTTCAATATGGTCTAATAAATGACTTCCTAAACCTCACAAAGTAGTTTAAATGAGTTTTTAATTACTTGAACCAACTCCAATTAACATCGGCTAATTTAAGAATGATGACTTGACGAGAGAGGAAACATTCAACATTGGTGATGCCGGATTCATTTCACCATTTTATTTTATTTCATTTTTCTGTAATTTTATTTCTAACCATAGATAACATTCAACATTGGTGATGCCAGAGCCACTTCACCATTTTATTTTATTTTATTTTATTTTTCTATACTTTTATTTCTAACCATAGATAGTTTTTCTTTTGATACATTTGAATTAGCTATATATGGGCATATTTTATTTAAAAGAAATAGAGAAGTGGAAAGGTAAAAATAATTTGTTTAGCTAAACTAAAACGTAAGTTAGATCAAGCGTCTCTAAGGAGCTTTTGAAGTGTTTGAGCGATAGTGTTTTTCCTTCTCATCGTTCTTTTCCCTTGTACAGCTCTTGTTTTCTTTTGATTTTGGTTGCCTTTTTCCTTGCCTTTGTTGTGGAGGTTTTCCCCTCTAGATTCCCTCCCCTTTGTTCTCCCTTGCCCTATTTTTCTTCTATATACATTCTCCTAAAATTCACTTCCTAAGCCTCACTTGATCGGTATGTTTCTTCTTCTGTTGATACGCCCTTTACATAGCTTTCTTTTTTTTATCTAGTTCTCTAGTTTTGAAACCTAGCTGTAAGGGATGAAGAAGAGGAAGAAAAGGAAGAAGACAAAAAAAAGTCTCAAGTTTTGGTTTTCATCTATTGAGTAATGCATCTTAGAGATGGTGCTCTAAATTTTACTAAGATGTATTGGAAAGTGTTCATCTTAAATTTGGAGCATCTGACCCTAGAAGTTATATTCAGGTAGTTTTTGAGAGGTTGTCTTGTGAGATTCTAACCTTCTTTCATGGTGTTTATCCATTGTCTCTTGTACTTGTTTTGAACCATTTCTCTCCTCTTCATTTTATGTCCTCTTGTTCTTTTTGAGTCTTAATATAATTGCAAGTATGTCAATTAATCGAATCTTTAAAAAAAAAACAAAATTACCAATTAGAACTATGTATATGTTTAACAAATTTATTAATTGTAATCTATTTATTATATATAAACATTAACTTTCATCCATTTATTATATAAAACATTAAATTAAAACACAAGCATAACTTATACTAGTAGCACAACTAAATCAAGTATACCTTCATAAATTATAATAGAAATTTCTAATATTATCATGAATATGCTGTCAGCTTGCCATTTGGCAGCTCTTTAATTCTCTCATCTAATATATTGGGATTGAGGGTAACATTAAATGAGACTTAAATCAAATTAAAACTTTATAGTCTACTGGGTACTAAAAGTAGTTAAAAATATGTACCTAAAAAATATTTAAAAATATTGTTAACCATTGAAGCAGTCCAATATTATTTTTTTCTTAAAAGTAAAGTTTATAAATTGAATTCATACTTATTCAAGTTTTGTGAATGAAAGTATGTGACAGTTTTTTTTTTTCTTTTTTTTTTTCAGTTTGGACGGTCAAAATTTTTTAGATTAATTTTTTTTGTTTTTTAATATTATTTTATCTTTAAATATTGATTCTAAGATTTAATCCTTAAATTTAAAATATATGATAATTACTTATTAATAAATGTAATTATATGTGGGAGAATTAACTAAGGGCTATGGTGCTACTAAAAAATATATATTTGTCAACAAATGTAGTTTAGCTAACTAATCTCTATTATTAACTGAAATATTTTAATTTATATTCTACCATAGAATAACTTATACGTAGTGTAAGAGTAATATAAAAGTTTATATTTCAGATTACAATTATGTGATTATTATCTACAGACTGAGACCGAGTCCCACGATCCTTGTCCAACAGTGTCTTTACATCAATGAAAAATCATCCTAATTAAAAGTCAACTTAAGATTAGATTAATAACGACACGAAATTTAATGAGCCGAATTAAATTTTAGGTGCACAATTATGTGATTATTATCTACAGACCGAGACCGAGTCCCACGGTCCTTGTCCAACAGTTTCTTTACATCGATGAAAAATCATCCTAATTAAAAGTCAACTTAAGATTAGATTAATAACGAGACGAAATTTAATGAGCCGAATTAAAATTTAGCCTGCACCTCACATTGAACGAAGGAACTCCGCACTTAAGTCTTCGAATACAGTATAACAAAGTCAGGTTGAAGTGCGA